ATATAGTGTATTACATTTATTGATTTACATATGTTGAACCATCCCTTGAATCCCTGGGATAAATCCAACTTGGTCAGGGTGTATGATCTTCTTGATGACACTTTGTATTCTGTTTGCCAGTATCTTGTTGAGGATTTTTGCATCTATGTTCATTAGGCAGATTGGCCTATAGTTCTCTTCTTTGGTTAGGTCTTTCCCTGGTTTTGGAATCAAAGTAACACTTGCTTCCATGAATTTGGAAGAACTGCTTCCCTTTCAATTTCATTGATGAGTTTAAAGAGTAATGGTGATAGTTCTTCTTTAAATGTCTTACAGAATTCAGCAGTGAAGCCATCAGAACCTGGGCTTTTCTTTGTTGGTAAATTTTTAATTATGTTTTCAATTTCGCTCATTGTAATTGGGGTGTTTAGAATTTTGTTTTCTTCTTCATTTAACTTTGGCAATTCATATGTATCTATGAATGTGTCCATTTCTTCTGTGTTTTCCATTTTATTACAGTACAGGTTCTTAACTAGGTATTGATGATCCTCTGGATTTCTGCTGAATCTGTTGTGACTTCACCTTTTTCGTTCTTAATTGCATGGATTTGAGCCTTTTTTTTCCTTTTTTTTGATAAGGTTGGCTAAAGGTTTATCGATTTTATTTATTCTTCTGAAAACTCTTAATTCAACTCTTTGATTCACTGATTTTTTGTTTCGTTCTCTTTGTCTCCATTGCATTGATTTCTGCTCTGATCTTTATAATTTCCTCTCTTGTATGAGCTTTGGGTTTGTCATGTTCTTTTTCTAGAAGCTTGAGGTTCAGCATTAGGTTATTTGAGCTCTCTCTGTTTTCCTAATATGCGCATTCACTGCTATGAATTTCCCTCGTAAGATTACTTTCATTGTGTCCCATAGATTCCTGCATTTTGTAATGGCATTATCATTTACTTGTAGAAACTGTCTAATTTCTTCCTATCTGACATTTCAGAAGAAAAATTTGTCTTCCAGATTACTTACCAGCTTCATTATCAGAGAAAAAGATTCTTAAAATCCATCACTTTTGATCTTGCTCTCTTTAAGTTAGTATATGAAATTTAAATCTAAACTGCTAAAATGCAAATAGAAATCTCATTCGAGGTCTCTAACAGTATTAATTTCTCTATTGTCTAGATCTAATTTTACTTTCTTGCCTTTATTATAAACTACAGATGGGTTTTCAGAATTAAGTAATTTAGTTATAAATGAGTAAAAAAAATACATCCATGCTCATTTTCATATGATAAGAAAAATGATGATCATTTCCAGAGTGAAAGACAGTAATCCTAGTGCCAGTGCTGTTTCAGTCATGGGATTTGGGGCACTCTCCTAACCTACATCTTAGTTTCCCTTGAGTAGAAAAATAATAAAATTAATAAAATCCTATCAGTTATGCTTCCAGACAGCATGGTACTTGAAAACAAATCTTATCATAACAATGGTGGTAAGGACAGCAACGATAAGCATACTATATGATACAGGTTTGGAAGAAAGGAGACATTGCCTAGTCATAAAAATCAGAGGGTTACTGAAGGTACCTTTTATTGTCTCTTTTAGCTCTGAAATTCTAGATTTCATTTTTAGTTGAGAAGACTGAATTAGGGTTCATAGTGATATCTGAAATAGGTCTGAAAGGAAGGACAAGATATTTACCAGATTACACTTTCAAATTTTATGCATAAGATTTTTAAAATGTGCCAAATGTTAAGTGGAAGGATGACCTAAATGAGATTTACAACAGTTATAAGTTCTAGAGAAGTTTTCTGACAGATAAATATTTTGAGGTCCAACATCTGAATTTAATGTTAGGCTCTCTGGCTCTGGGAGCTTTCCATGGATTCCACTGTTCTTTTTTAATTTTTATTTTATGAAAAAGTAAAACAAATTTTCATAAAGGTTTCCATTCTCCTTGATCTAACCCAGCCCCCAGGCCCATGGGCACACACATTTGCCACACACTAATGATTGGCTGCTTTACAAGGCTTTGATGCTATATAATGAGTCTGCTTTTTAAAGAAATATGTAATCTAAAAGATAATTCATTTAGTTGAGAAAGTTTTAATATTACTAATGACTGTACTGACTCATCTACAAATAAAGCTAATAAAATACAGTTCAGAGAAATCAGTTACATTTTTAAAAGAAAAATAATCATGTTATTTAAGGTATAATACTGGAGTAATTCTTCAACTTAAAAAAAAAATTACCTGTAGTAGCCCTCCATCATCAAAACGCAGGACTTCTATTATACTCTCTGACTGAATGAATGCTGTAAAGGAAACAAAATATACTATCATTGATAGGAACAAAAATTTGATTTTCATGAAATCTTTTATCTTCAGATTAATGAATACAGTTTTAGATTTAAAAATACAAACTAGGTGTGGTGGTGCATGGCTGTAATCTCAAGGTGAGACCCTGTTTCAAAACAAAGAAAGAAACACATTGCTTGATGGTGGTGGTTATAGATGAAGATATAACTAATACTTCAGAATTTTAGCAAATTTGAAATGCTATATCAAAGTAGTTCCAATAACTTACAGACTGTGTAAGTTACTTCCAAAATATCTAGTCTGGTAAAGTACAAAAGTGTTGAATTCAACTAGATGTAGGTAATTATTTTCACTGGTAGATTGACTGAAAAGATTATAAGCACTTGGAAAAGATCACCCTAACCCTAACTCTAGTCCCTAACCCCTAACCCTAACTCTAGACCTAAATTGTGATCAGCTAAAATTCTGTATCATCTGCTTTTTTGTAGTGAAATGACCTGGAATCAGTAGTCAAAAGTAAGTTCACAGGGAAGTGGGTAAGAAAAACAGTGAAAGGAAATGGCTTCAAGAAATAGAACAAGGTATCTGGGCATGGTGGTGCACACCTGCAATGCCAGCACTCAGGAGGCTGAAGCAGGAGGATCACTACAAGTTTGAGGCTAACCTTGGCTACATAGTGGATTCAAGACCAGGCTGAACTGCACAGGGAGATTCTGTCTCAAACAAAACAAAGAAGAAAAAAAAAAACAACAAACCAAAAAAACCCTCCCACACAAACAAATAAACAAACCCACATTGCAAAGACAAGCTATTTAGAAGCTAGCATACCTGTGCCATATGATCTGGCATTCATGCTCCTGGTATTTACCACACTGATTTGAAACCTTATGTCCACATATAAATCTGCATGGAATTCCTTGTAGCAGCTTATGTAGCAGCTTTATGTTACATATAATCACCAAAATCTGCTCATAATCAAGATGTCCTTCAAAAGGTGAACAAACAAACTGTACAATGCAAATGTTAGTCAAAGTAAAGGTTCACACTGCATGATTCCAAGTATGTGACCTTCTGGAAAAGGCAAGAACTGTTATGCATCATCAGCTCTCCTTAAAAGATGTAGAAATAAATAGGATTCAACTCTAGCATAAAAGTAATTAGGACATTTTGCTTTAAATGACCGATTACAATAACTTAAAATTTTATGCCTAGAAAAATACAAGTGACAGTCGATGTGCACTTAATCATTTCATGGGTTAACAATTATTATTATTATTATTATTTTTTGGTACCGGAGATCGAACTTGGGTCCTTGCGCTTGCGCAGCAGGCGGCAAAACCACTGAGCTAAATCCCTGGCCCCCATGGGTTAATAATTATTAACCTAGAAAATAAAGACAGTAATCAAAGTGTCCATATTCCCACATTTCTGGATTCAAAGTCACAAGTGACAAGTATTTCCTCTCCCTAAAATACTTCCTGTAATTTTATACTCTTAATGAATTCCCAATTCTACCATTCTGTAGTTCAAGGAGCAACCAGACATAGTAGAAATAAAAACTAATAATTATTGATCACTATGGTATTAAACTTCAAACTATCATGCGACATTACTGATGCCATTTTAAGGTTTTCTTTTAAAAAGGCACAGTGAGGTTATGTTCACCAAGAAAGCGGGTAAAGATGTACTATGAATTTCAGAAAAGATCGCAGAATCTATGCTTTTAAACCCATCACTACTTTCAAAGCATTAATCCTCATGACTGACAGCACTTTCAAGCAACCTAATTTTCAAAATTAGTCATGTATTTATGACGCCAAGTATCGCTTCTTGGCCTTTTGGCTAAGATCAAGTGTATGACGCCAAGTGAGGAAAGGAGGATATACGAGCAAACAGGATTTATATCTCTGGCTTTTCTGATTCTACTGGCATTTACTCTGAGAAGTTTGGCTCACCAAGATCTACTTTAAGTTCCTCAGAATTGCTCACATCACTATCACATCTGAGTGTAAAAATTTCAGTGTCAGTTGTTTAATGACTCACTTCCAACATGAAGTTCAGAAGCTGGATTTGTTTACCTCCTTATTTCATTTAGTAAAGAATGACATTTATATGATTAGTTCAATCCCTGGTACCAAAAAAAAAAAAAAGACATTTATATGATTAAACATATACTCACTTTAAAGGCAAATCTTTAATTCACTTATTTTTTTCCTTTAGGTGGAATTCTGGATACAATCTGTATCTTTAAAAATAATTCATGCTTTATTTGTACAAATAGTACAAATATAAGTTGTACTGGTGAGGCAAGGGGTGTCAACTTTAGGAATGTAGGTTTATCATTGTCTTTATCTCTGACCCCCATGGTCTCTTTCTCCTTAAGAGGAAGAGGCTGGACTAATTAAATTCTTTACAAAGCCCCTACAAAAGCAGGAAGAAAGGCTACATAGATAGGCAGGCTTCAGGAGGCTCCCAAATCCTGTCAAATCTTACCTAGCCTGAAAAGCTCCTCCTGAGCTTTTGTATCTTCTTCAAGCCTCAACCTAGCCATTCACAGCAGTGAGGCCATTCCTGACTGCTCCAAGCAGCCTTGCTATCCTCTATAATGTGCCCTATTTTAATTTGTCACGATCTACGATAATTTCTGGTTTGTCTGTTAATCATTTGTGCTTAGCCTAAAGAAGAAATATGGAGGAAAAATGGAACATAAAGTTGGCTAAGATATGACATGTCAGAATTCATCATTCTTAATGAAATTAATATCTCTTTTACAGTTACACTTGCTCAAGACTTTTTCAACAAAGGGCTTAGAAACTGAGAATTTGTAATCATCTGTACTAGGTCTATAAGAGTTTCCTCAAGCTGTAAAGATACTTTGAGTTCAAATCTTTGTCTCTTCCCTTACTAATTTTATTATCTGAAAGATGCATAATATACTTAATTTATCTTCTTGCCACATTTGAAGTGAAAAGGAATTCACGTCAGTCAAATTCTTGACTTGTTTTCTCTTCCTTCTCCTCACCTCCCCCTCCTGGTTGCCATAATGTGGGCAGCTCTGGACTGCCATGCGCACCCTGCTCTGATGTCTGACCTTACCACAGGCCCAAGGTGGTATGGGCAAGTAATCAGGGACTAAGCCAAAATAAATCTTTCCTCCTTTTAAGTTGTTTATGTTAGGTATTTTGTTATAGCAATGGAAAACTAATTAACATATACCCAAAGTCTTCAAACAGGAACAATCTGAGTGTCCATTACAGATGAATCGATCAGTAAAACACAGCTCTGACATAATGGAGTATTATTCAGCCTTCAGAAAGAATGAACTTGTGATACATGTTTAAAACATGACTAGATATTTTATGCTAAGGGAAAGAATCTAGACACAAAATGTCCAATAGGATAATTCTACTTATATGAATTATCTAGATTAGGGAAATCTATGGAGATTGAAAGTAGGCTAGAGGTTACTGGAGGCTGAGGTGGGGGTAACCATTATTGTTTAATGTTACTGAGTCTCTGGGGTGGTGAAGAGGCTTTGGAAATAGGTAAAATATGGTTGAACAACATTATGAATATATTTAATGCTATTAAATTGTTTTGTTGTTGTTTTTGGTACCGGGGATCGAACTCAGGACCTTGTGCTTGCCAGGCAGATGCCACACTGCTGAGCTACATCCCTGGCCCTGAATTATATGCTTAAAAATAGTTACAAATGTTTAATTCTATGTTATATGTATGTTATTAAAAAACTTACAGAATAACAAATTAAACAACAAATTTTTGCAACAAAATATTAAGTTGAATCCTGCAATGTATAAAATTGTACACTATAACCAAGTGATTTTTATACAAGATACACAAGACTGGCTTGAAATTCAAAACTCACTGTAATTCACTACTACCTAACAGAAAAAATATCTGACAAAGCCCAATACTCATTCATAATAAACTGTCAAGAAGACAAAAGTAAAGTACAACAACTGCAACCTTAGCCTCAATAGAGGCAGGAAGATTGCCAAGAGTTTGAGGACAGCATAGACTACATAGTGAGAACCTGTCTCAAAAAAATCAAAAACAAAATAAAACACAGACACATACACAGAGATACACACCTGTGTTCTTCAACCACAGTGAAATAAAAAATAACAGTAAAATTTGAGAAACTCAGAAAATACGATGATATTGAAAAATAGGATCCTTAAAAACCAGTGTGTTAAAAAAGAAATGAGGGGAATTTAAAAATATTTTGAAATAAGTAAAAACAAAAATACAAAACACCATAACTTATGAGATACAATGAAAACAGTGCTAGAAGAAAAATTTAGAGCAGTACATGCCAATATTAAAAAGAACACAGAGATCTCAAGATCTCCTTTAATTTTTTTTTTTTTTTTGGTACTGGGGATTGAACTCGGCCTTGCGCTTGCAAGGCAGGCAATGGAACTACTGAGCTAAATCCCCAGCCCTTTATTTATTTATTTATTTTTTGAGAGAGGGTCTTGTTAATTCCCTAAATTGCCCAGGCTGGGGTTATGACATTTAAATATCATGTAACCATGGGGTAAAATATAACCTCTGCTTGAGAAGAGCATTAACATTTCTAGCTCTCTCACATATAAAAATCCATTTATTAGTGTGTGTGCCTGTGTTTTGTGGAGGGAGAAGGAAGAGCAAATGATAAAGCAAATGGGCAAACTGTCAACAACAGGTGAATGGGTTGTGAGGTTTTTATTGTTTTCATTACAGATTTTTTCAAACTTTGAAAATATTTCAAATAAAGACTTTACAATAGAGAAAATCATTTATGTAAGAATATAAAAAATTTCAATGTTTAAATACCCCTAATCTTTAAAAAAATCATGTATCAAGCTATTGTAAAGTCACTTAATTCTGCCAATTTGGAAATGGGGTTCCAGAGGCAGCTGGTAGCCTCACTGCTACTACAGGTTAGAAGTGTTAAGTACAGTTAAGATGCTGACATGCCTATAACTACTGT